TTCTGTCTCTCCCTCCCTTCACGCTGTCCTCATTGGTTTTGTATTAATATTTCTGTAATAAAAAGGCGTTCTTTCAATAAAAAGAGGAGTTTTTTTCGTACTAAATCGCCAAGGAAATTGCATTTTAAATTATTTTCTAGCCCGGCGTGCCTTTGCTCTCGAACTCTCTCCTGTAGCAGAACCTGTGTATTTGTTTTTGTTGCATGAAGGGCTGCTTTGTAAACTGATTTTTGGGGGGAGCCAGGACGGTGTAAAGACTCAAAAGCAATTGCTGAGAACGTTTCTGCAGCAATTTCACCACGCCCTGAGAAGCAAATCCTTAAGGGGAAAGTTTCCATGAAGCGTTTGTAAATGTTTGTGGGGAAAAAACAAAAAAAAAGTTCTGACAATCTTGTCACAACATTTGCTGTTCGTGATGATGGAATGTGGTCACAGAGGGACAACAGACCAGGCAGGGAGGGAAAATTCACCTGCTGAGTTTTATCCCAGTTGCTGAGATTTTAGACAAAGAGAAAAAAAAACAAAAACAAAAATGGTTTTGTAGATCCAAGATAGAAAAGGTCCCCCCTGCACTCCCAAAAAAACAGTCCCAGAAGGTTGGAAAGCAAAACCTGTTCCTTACCAGGGCTTTTCCAAAAGCCTGGCTTTGCTTTCAGTGCTGGGATTGGGAGCTGCTGTAAATGCATTTACGTGTAAATGCTTCCCTGGGTGGATGGAACCTGCTCCATCCACAGCCTCAGGCTTCTCCCTCCCTCCTTCCCAACGTTTTTTGTTCTCTCTCATGGCCATGCAAGTAAAAACTCCCATCTTTAAGCTCAATCTTTTTCAGGTTGTTTCTTTTTCACGTTTGGGTTTGATTTGTTGCTGTGGGTTTTGGGGTTGTTTTTTTTTGGGTTTGTTTTGTTTTTCCTACTTATTATTTAATCTTAAATGTGTATTGTTGCTATTGTTAGTCGAGGCCATTTGTTCAGATTTCAGTTGGGCCCTCGGGGCTTTTAATTTACCTCTTTAGAAAGGTCCAAGCTCGAGGTTTTTCTGTATGTTTGACCCACAGCTGGTCCAGCCTGTTGGATTTTGCACAGTTCAATCCTGATTGTATCAAAAACTGGTGACGTTCTTAATAAAAATACCACGCAAAACTTTGCTTTATCTGAAATTTCTTCCACCAACACCTTCATTTCTTGCTGCAGCCACAGCCCAAGGATGGGATGGAATGACTGTTTGCCCAGTTCTTTGCTTTGTACGCTGCCTTTCTGAAGTTCAAATTGTGGTTTTCTCCGAGTGATTGGGTCAAAAACGATCGACCAAAATCTCTGATCCCCGTCCTGGAGGGTCAGGTTTGCTGTGCCATTATTTTTTTTCAGCTGGGATCAACTTTAGGAGAGAAGGAAAAATGAGATAATGAGCAGTAGCCACTTAGTAATTCCTGTGAAGTGGCATTTCATCCAGTGAAATCCATTCTTAAATCAGTTTTGTGAATTGATTTTGTCCTGCTATGACAAAAAAAAAAAGAAGCATTGACTGAATTTGGCTGAAAAAAGAGAGGTTTGATCCCTGTTCTCTTCAGTTTAGGGGGGTTTTTAACTTGTTATAACACAATTATTGACAATTCCCAGTCCTTCAGTGGGATGTTTTCCATGCATTAATTCCCTTGGAATCACTGGGAATGTTGTGCTTGGGAAACTTTTTTTATTCCCAATGGGAATGAAAATCACTTTCCCTTACAGCTGATTTTTCGACCACACGAATCCCGTAGGACTGAACAGTCAAATAACCCAAAAATTATTTAAAATCATTTTTGATTGAAATCCTTGACTGTTGCAAAGAGAGAACACGAAAACCTTCACTAGATTTTAGTAGCCCTTTATGAAATTTGCCTTTTTTATGGTTTTTTTTTTTTTTTTTAAGGCACTGGCAAATTCCTGCACCCAGAGCTTCCCTATCTTCTCATTTCACTCTGAACTTTGTTGCTGGCTTTGAATTTGATTCATTGGAACAAAACAAGAGTCTTTTGGTAGCTCAGATTTGGGATATTCCGGGGTTCCAGCTACAGGACAACAAGAAAAGCCACCTTTTTGCCCACAGAAGGTGGTTAAATTTCCAAGGAGCAGAACACAGGACTGAACTTTTTCTCCCAGCACGAGCTGGAAATTCAGTGAACACAGGGCGGGTTTGGGGGTTTGGTTTCCTCAGTTGTACCTTGGGTCTGACTGTACTAATGAAAAAGCAACCAAAAAAAAAAAAAAAAAAGAGGTTTTTGATGGAATTGCATTGTGGGATACAGAATTAGAGAATTTTTGAAAGCTGGACATGTACAAAAAATTATTCTTGTGTGAGATGACCTGTAAATCACCTTTTCCAGCCAACTGTTCTGTATTTATTTCACCCAGTTATCTCCTGAAAATTTTCCTTTATGCCCACCACTTGTAGTAAGGCCCAGCCAGATTTGTTTCCAATGAATCACTTGCTTCTTTTTCCTTTTCTTTTCTTTCTTTTTTTTTTTTTTATTTTTTTATTTCACTCAGCACTTTTTAACCACAAAAATATAACTTGTGTGCCGTGAACAAGTTATAATTGGGACTCTCTTTGGAAGCCTTGTCTTGGGATGGAAGCTGCAGGAATAAAACTGGGTTTTCCACATTAAAAAAAAAAACCAAAAAAACCATCCCAGATGGTTTTTACCAAAACTTCTTGTGTTTCTGGAAATAGTAACTGTTCATTCTCCATCCCAACTTTAGGATCTGCCTGAATTCTTGGGATAAACACAGAATTCCTTCTTCCATTTCCCATCCTTACCTTGGGAAAAAAAAAAAATGGTTTATTTAAAATCTTAGTGAGCTTTTCAATCTTACCCCTGAGCTGGCATTATTTAAATGGTAAATGGCAGCAGGTTTTCTTCATTTTAAAAGGAAAAAAATGTCCAGATGTGGAGCACTTTTGTTGTATTTCAGTGGCATCGAATGCAAATGTTGATGGTGATGAAAGCAGAGGTGTTAAATGGAGAAATGCAGTTTTTATTTTGCATCTGGTCACCTGAAAAACCATCTTGAGAGAAATAAAATGGGGAACGATGAGCGTGATTTAACCGAGTTACGGGTAAATGAGAATTGGACTCCAAATAGGCGGATTTATTGAAAAATACCTAAAAAAATTAAAAATTACAGGTACAATGCAGCGTGGGAGAGGCAGGGGCGGGGCCATCACGTTGTGTAGATGCAGCTAAACGAGGTTGAGCACTGAAAGTTGCATTTTTCACGCTCAGATCAACATTTTTAGGTGTGGCTGTGCCAGCTCCTGGTGGCAACTGCTCTGCTCAGTGGGGAATTGTGCCACTATACATCCAGCTAAAATTTTTCTCCTCACAAAAAAAAAATCCACCAAACACCAAATAATACGTTTCCCTGCACCAAAAAAAAAAAAAAAAAGACCAACAAAAAGCAGATTTTAGAAGTGGCTCTAATGCAAACATTTGCATGCAGCTGTTCCCATCGGCCTCCTCAGCAACTGCTAAAATTAAAACAG